TGAAGGCAGTACTAAGAGAAAAGTTCATTGCATGAAGAAATGAAGATGAAAAACAAGAAAAAGTCAACAAATAAATAACCCAACATTACATCTCAAAAAAAAAGAAAGAACAAAACAACAACAAAAACAGTAGAAGACAGAAAATAATTAAAATAAAGCTGAAATCAATGAAATTAAAACAAAAGAAACAATTGAAAAATTGACAAAACAAAAATTTAGTTCTTTGAAAAAAATAAATAAAATTGACAGACCATTAGCTACACTAATGAAGAGAAGGAGAGCAAAAACTCAAATTACTTACATACGTGATGAAAAGGTAACATCACAACAGACACTATAGAAATTCAGAAGATACTTACAAATTATTTGAAAACTTGTACTCCAAAAAATAGAAATATCAAAGGCATTTGCAAATTTCTTAAGTCATATGATTTTCCCAAATTGAATCAGGAAGATAGACACAATTTAAACAGCCCTATATCAAGTGATGAAATAGAAGACACCATCAGAAGTCTACCAACCAAGAAAAGCCCAGAACCAGATGGATACACAGCCAAGTTCTACAAGACCTTTAAAGAAGAACTAATACCAATACTCTTCAATTTATTTCAGGAAATAGAAAAAAAAAGGCGGCCCTTCCAAACTCATACTATTAGGCCAATATCACCCTGATTCCAAAATCAGGCAAAGACACATCAAAGAAAGAAAACTTCAGGCCAATATCTCTAATGAACATACATGAAAAAATTCTCAATAAAATTCTGGCAAATCACATACAAAAACATATCAGAAAGATCGTGCACTGACATCAAGTGGGATCCATCCCAGGGATGCAAAGTTGGTTCAAACATTTGGAAATCAATAAATGTAATGCATCACATCAACAGACTTAAAGATAAGAATCATATGATCATCTCAATAGATACAGAAAAAGCATTGACAAAATATAGCACACCTTTATGTTCAAAATACTAGAAAAATTAGGGAGAACAGGAATATATCTCAATATCGTAAAGGCTATCTATGCTAACCCCCAGGCCAACATCTTTTTAAATGGAGAAAAATTTAGGGCATTCCCTCTAAAAACTGGAACAAGACAGGGATGCCCTCTTTCACCAATTCTATTTAACAGAGTTCTAGAAATACTGGC